CAGGGCAGGGAAATTCTACACCCTCAGGGGAAAAAAAAAACCCACAAAAAAACCCCAACAAGTAATGCAAAGGCAGTCACCACATCCCACCACCAGACCGATGCTCAGCCAGTCTCCAAGCAATAGTTACTTTGGAGAAACTCCCCCCAGTTTTATTGCTGAGCATGAGGTTACAGGGTATGAAATATCCCCTTGGTCAGTTGGGGTCAGCTGTGCTGGCTCTGCCCTCTCCCTTGCTCCTGCCGCCAGCCTCCTCGCTGCAGAGACAGAGTGAGAAACAGAGGCGGCCTTGCTGCTGTGCAAGCACTGTTCAGCTATTGCTAAAACATTGGTGTGCTAGCAACACCATTTTGGTCATAAATCACACAACAGCATAAGGGCGGCTATGAAGAAACTTAACTCCACCCCAGCCAGACCCAGTACACTGCAGGATCACATCTCTTTCTTGGACAAATTTGGGCTCAGACAGGCCACACTGTGCTGAACCTGTGCACAGGTGCTGTAGGCAGAAGGCAAAGAAATGAGCTTTTATGGACATGGAAAATATCAAGCCCAAGTCAGAGATGTAGAAGGTACCCACAGCTGGACAGAGGGGCTGAGGCAGCGACGTAAGCACTATTCATATCTGTAATGTTACAATCTGGCATTTGTATCTGCCCAGTTAATGAGATCAAACCAACCAATGGTTTAATGGAAACAACACTCCCACAGGTTTTGGATACAAGCCCCCAGACTACATTGAGTTACTGCTTCACAGAGTATCTATCCTGACTGTGACAAGAGTTCTTTAATTAAACACAATCTATATAAGTCATGTTCTGAAGAAAACTCAAATCCATTGAATGTCACCCCGGGCAGAGTTAAACCTGGACTCCAGATAAAGAGACCTGATATCAGAGGAAGAGAGAATGTAGCTGAAAGAAGACATCAGGCTAAAAGAAGTAGTTATGGGCTGGTATATGTGGAAGTTAGACACCAGTCCAGAAGCTTTGTATCAAACACAGGTAGAGTACAGATTGTTATATTGGTGGTATGGACTATTGTGTTCAGAGATGCAATGGGGCTAAGCTAGAAGGGCAAGAGGTAAAGCAGCAGATAAACCTGCTGTCAGATACAACAGAAAGAGAGGTGTTGGACTGAAAGGGTGGTTGGTGAGGAATGGAAGGAACCAGAGAATGAGGCTAGCAAACTGTTTACCTATGCAAGCAGAAGGCTGGATGATGGACTTTATGGTCCATTTGCCTTCTCTATTGTAGTCGTTATTGCCTCCCACTAAAGTCATGCACTCCCTTGAGTTATTGTCCCTGCTGCTTGATGTACCGAGCATTTACACAGGTGAAAAATCTATTATAACTGCCTGACTTTGTTTGGAAGTAATGTCAGTACATGTGGCTTTAAATTCAGTGAGGCCAAATTTAATATTCAGCTTCAGTTGGCGTTTCTTCCTCAGCTTTGTGTCTGGCATTGGCACTGTACAGGAGCCAAGCTGTTCCATCCCTTCCTCATCTACGTACTGAGCATCCTGCTTTTCTGTACAATAGAAAGAAAATCATGCATTTGTTTGATCTGGTTCTGTTGGATGGAAATTATAGTGGGCAACTTCATTTATATTTACTAACTCCTCAATTCCCACCAATTTCTTGAAGAGATCTGTGCAAAAAATATAGCCATCAGCTTTTGAGACTCTTAGTTTACAGAAGTCATGGATAGCAGCATCAAATTTGTAACTTACTGCTATGCCGTATGTCTGAGCACTGACTCTTGAGGCAACAATGTGTGGATTGACTCCAAATAAAACAGCCCCTTTTCCAATGGCCACTTGGGCCTCCACTGGACAAAGGATATGATACTTCTTGCCAAAGGTCTGACTGATCGCATCGCTCAAGATGATGCTAGATGCAAAGCCTCCCACAAGCAAAATGTACTGGACCTTGGCCATCTCAGGCTTGTCAAGAATCTCCCTCAAAGTACGAATGACATTTTTGATACTGTAGTCGAAAAAGCTCTTCATTTTCTCATATGTAATCATGATCATCCCACCACACCACACAGCACCTTTTGCTTTTTTGAAGAAGTGGGAGATGTCCTTCTTGCACTCTGGTCAAGTTGCAGTAGCAATGTATGTAGACCGCCTCCCTGCTAGCAGAGCATTTCTGTAGACTGAAGTTGTACATCATATGTTGTAACTCGGTAGGGTGGCTCCTTACATATTCATCCCATACACCGTCATCGAATATTTCCTCAAGGAAATCAGTGAAGTTTTCATCCGCTCTGTTGCCTCCCCATCCACCTCCAGCTGCCTTGTGTAACTCCTTCAGGTAATGGTTTTCTTGGATCTCATGTACTGTGATGTCTATTGTGCCACATACACACACACAGACAAACACAAATGAAGTTAGCAGTTTTCTTTAAAGTACATGAGGTCCTTACTTTCCACTGAATATAATCTTACCTTCTGAACTCCTGTTTCACAAGTGTGCTTTTCTGCTGCTTTCTTTTCTTACCCTCACTCCTCTGCTATTGCCTGCACACCTCTAGATTTCCTAAATTTATGCACTTCTGTTTACAAGCCTGGTTTCTCAAAGTTCCTACAGTAATTGCTGATGAGATCTGGATGCTCCAACTTGCTCCCTGCACAAGCCGATCTCCTTTCTGATCACAAAAGGAGACTGGCCTCCTCGCACAGATAGTTGACTCCCGCCTTTTGATATACAAGCTCTGAATTAAGACGAGCAGCGGTGGTGAGACTCTCAGAAACGTGTGGTCCTCTTGATGCCTTTTCAGTATTTGTTCACAATCACTAGACTGCTCTTGGCAGGAAATTCATGTCACACCAAAAAAAACCACACAGGAAGCTAGAGAAATTACTAAGAAGTGCTCCATCAAATATTCTTAATGATTTACTCTACAGGGCTTGCTAGCTAATCTCTTTGGTCAGTTCACTGGGCACTACGCTTGCTCCTACAGAGGAGGCTGTGAGCTCAGGCTATACAACAGCACGAGGCTGCGCATCGGTGGCTGATGCTGGGACACACTGCAGGCTGATCTGGCGCGATGGCAGGAGCTCTCGCTATGACTGTCTGGCCTGAAGTGCGTGATGGCGTAAGACACTCAGTGACTTCCATTTAACATGGATCAGGCCTTTAGCAGTCCTGTCCTTTCCTCCCATTTTTCTGCCTGCCCATGGTATCTCATTAAGTGTGAAATAAAAATAAAAATAAAACCCCCGTGACAAGCACAGCAGTGGAGTCCAAGCTCTGGGACTGCACTGCAGATCTTTAGGGACACTGTGAAACAGCCATCCTCCGTGCCCAGCAAAGATGGTACCTGTTAAACAGGGAAAATTTTACCTCCACAGTCAACAACAATATACTGGATCCCAGGGGAGTCTTCAAACCTCTTCTTGTCACTGCTGTCTGCCATAAATCCTTCCTGTGGAAGCTGTTTGCACCAGAGCGATGCAACCTCCTGCTCCAGGGCAATAATCAGCTTCTCAGAAATCATGTCAGAGGCAAGTCCTGCCTAAAATCACAAGAGAGATGTGTCAGTCCAAGGAAAGGTGGCAAGATCGCTGCATGAATGTCACCTGCTAGGGAGACTGTTCTCACCCCAGGAGCCCACACTGGGGTGGTGGTTCTTGCATCGCTGATCTCCATGGGGCTCATTTCTACATGGCAGTGGGAGGAAAGGGCAGAGCGATTGTTACTGCCAGTTTGGGACATCCTCTCCCCCACTGCCCCCAACGTGGGAGATTTCTCCCCGATATATGAAATTTGAAATACAGGTTGTTTAAATGTTGAGGAGTTCCTCTGCCTCGATGGGTAAAGAATCTCCAAAGATAATTTGAGGAAGTGGGGTAATCCCTGCTTTTACCTTTCTTGCCGCCAGCCACACGAACTGCCTGGCAGCAGCGCTCCATATAGCTGGGATGGTAATGACCCAGCTGATCTCCTCCTGGTTGCAGACAGTTTGGAAAGAGGCCTCTTGGATGGTGTTCAGGGCATGTTCCTTCAGGCAGTGCAGGCTTTCGGAAAAGACCATCAGGGCAGGAAGCGTCTTTCCATCGCTGGCTTTCAGTTCCATGCCAGAAGTGACTTTCTACAAAAATCATCTCAGAGTCACACGTGGCAGTCTCAGCAAGAGACCCGTCCCCTTCGCACTGAGCACTGCACAACATACGGCATAGAAGGAGGTCCTGTCTCCAAACCTGAGTAAATTCCCAGCAATGGCTTCAGTATTGTAGCAAACTGCAGCCTAACTGACACAGGTCAGCTACCAAAACGCTTACCCATGACATCTGTGATTCAATAGCCAAAATACCAATGATGCGGTTGATGTCAGCTGTTTCTCCTGAGCCAGATTTTGTAAAGACCCTGTAGATCCTCCTGAACAGCCAGTGGGGAGAATTGTACTTTCTATGTGACACCGCCGTACTTTTCCCAGGTGTATGTATAGAGACTTCAGACCTTTCTGGTTGCACCTATACTTCCGTGTATGGCATTAACAAAATACATGCCGGACACACATGTAGACAAATAACCCTCTGGTCTGACACAGTTTCTCTATAATGTGTCCTCTTGGCTTATGTATCTCCCTGAGCGTACCTTGAGGCAGGTGGCTGCTCTGACACTTTTTTAGTCTCTCCCAGGAGACCAAAACTCCCTCCATCAGTCCCTGCTCGCCTGCTCTGTCTAGAAAGAGTGGGAATTGTTGCCTGTATCCAAAGAAGTTTCAGGAGCCAGCCCTCACAACATGTGCCTCCCTTTGTTTTGCTTCAGCAGCCACCAAAATGGCCCTAAATTACGAGGATTATTGACTGGATAATCAGCTCCATTAACGTGGGATCCTTTGCAGCCAATGGAGAAAAACAGGAAGGTCCAGGTGCTGCCCAGCTTAAATAACACACAACCAGGAAAGGTGAGGTGAATCCTGTTCTGCAGGTGCAGCCGCTTAAGAGAAAGGGAATCTATGTTCATTTTTACTTACAATCTCATTTCCTGTCACTGTTCCTGGCTCAGTTAGGAGAGGTTGATATATGGAGGCTGTTACATGTCCTCCACGCACACGTTCTATGAAGATTCAGAAATAACTACTTATGTGTCTGGGAACCGGTGTTCCCCTTTCTTGTCTCTGAGTCCTTCTAATGGTTGCCCAGAGAGGTTGTGGAATCTCCATCTTTGGAGATATTCAAAAGCTGGCTGGACCATAGTCCTGGGCAACCAGGTCTAGGTGGCCTTGCTTGAGCAGGGAGGTTGGGGCAGATGACCTCCACAGGTCCCTTCCAACCTCAACCATTCTGTGATTCTGTAATGAAATTTCCCTTAAACATTTTCTTCTTGGGTGCAGAGAAATGGGGTTGAACTAAAACCTCTCTCCAGCTCCCTCTGAAAGTGAGTGAGAACCCACCACTCCACAGGTGACACTGTGGCAGACCACATCATTCCCAGCTTTCCCAGGGAGGAAATTCTTCACAGAGGCCTCCCACCTACTGCCTCTCCCCACATCCAGTTCAGCGCTCATTGCTTAGCACTGGGGGATGCCAAAGAGCAGACACAAGACTTTATCTGGAGCTGGCCCTGTGCTCTGGGTTATTCCATCTTTGGGAGGCCCTGTGGGACCCCAGAGCACAGACAAGGAGGCCCTAAGGTAGCCTAATGTTTGGCTGAACAAGCAAACCCAGAAAAAGCTGTGAACAATTCTGAACTAGCACAGAACCTTCAGAGAGAAATGATAGCCACTACATGCTTGAAGGACAGCTAGCCACCCTTAAACTGGCTTCAGCATACCATTTCAGGGGAGTGAGAGACAAGCTAGAGGGAGGTATATAACGTGGTAATCCCAAGGTTGCCCACCTCCTCTGCATTACAGGAAGCTTCACTTGCTCCCTGTCGAGGACTGAGGGCAGCTTTTCATTCAGAACAAGTACTTGGCTTCACCGAGGTGTGCAGTCAGGTTTTATTGTCTTTAGACAATGAACAGCATCATAAAGGAAGGGTCCGTGAATCCTCTGGCTAATTAAGAAAATAAATCATTTCTTCTTCAGTTCATCAAAATGCCTTTTGATTTCCATTCATTCATCCCCATCAGCCAGATTTACTCAGCCCTCTTCACCAATTCCTCTAACCCCCACCCCTCAAATAAATTAATAGCTCTGTCTCCTATTAGCAGTAACCATTCCCCCTACTGTTGTGTTGTAGTTTCATCTCGAAGTTCTGGAAGAAGTACCAGTTGTCAGCTTTGCTGAGGGACAGGCTCTTGTACTTCATCACAGCATCATAGCCAAAATTCCAGAACTGCTGCTTCTGGTTGAACAAGATGCACGTGGGCGTCTTTGGTGTCTTGAGCCCATGCTCTGTTCCCCAGTACACCTGGAGGATTTGGTCTGTACCTGAATGTGCTGGTTTTGGCTGGGATAGAGTTAACTTTCTTCATAGAAGCTAGTATGAGGCTATGTTTTGGATTTGTGCTGAAAACAGTGTTGATAATACAGGGATGTTTTAGTTACTGCTGAGCAGTGCTTACACAGAGTCAGGGCCTTTTCTGCTTCTCACACCACCCCAC